GTGAATAAAATTAACTGATATCTGTTGCTGGTGAAAGGTGATAGATATCTCGTCAATTTAGTCAAGATGCATATAAATTGATCTATACACCAACATTTTCAACCCAAAAAATAATACAAAAGGAGTATTTATATTGATTTCATTATATTTTCTTGAACATGATGCATCACTAAAAAAAAAAATTGTATTAATCAAAATTGATTAGTAATCCTCTAGTTAAATAACTCAACATTCGATCAAGTATATTTCTTGTCCTTTTTGTATGTAAATAGATAATATTGTACCAATTTTAAGAAATGTCCTAAAACGTCAGTAAAAGCAAAAATAATATAAAATAAATTGTGATTGACCGTATACAGATGTCTAGATGAAAAACTTTGAAGTTAGGATAAAAACATCACATCATGTAATTATGTATGTTTATTTTGGATATTTGACTTATTTTAACATCGCTAAATCTCAAATTAATTTTACATATATATCATTGAAAATATTTTACCTTTCAATAAATGATGAATTATTATCCTCTACATGATAATATTTTTTAAAATATATTATAAAACATATTTGAAACTTAATTTATATTGAATAAAAGTAATTATTTATTTATAATTAAAATAAAATAGTTGTCAAGCTAAATTAGTCAACAATATGGTGTAAAAACTACTCTAAATTTGACTGGACACTCTCATATATAGCCTTGATAATTATTTTTTTACTTTATTTGAAAATCAAATTAACTTTAATCCTGTTTAATTGTATTTTATATAACTTTTTATAAAAATATATTCAAATTCTAAATATGGTAGAAATAAGATTGAAGCTAATTCAACCCCAACTATAATAAATAAATAAAAAAACTTCAACTATAAATACATGAATGAAACGAAGAGAAAAAATAAAATAAAATAGGTGAACGGCACTATGGCGGAAGGGATATTATTGCAGTGTGGCGATTGCGGAACTTTATTGAAATCGGCAGAAAAAGCTGAACAGCATGCGAAAGAGAATTGGCATACTAATTTCCGTGAGTCCAATGAAGCATTTGTGTACCAAGTTTGCAAAGTTTGCGGCAAACATTGTGTTTGTAAAACAGTAAGTTATAATCATCATGGAGAAATTTTGTTATTATGAGGTGATTTTGTGAAATTAGTTGTGGTGCACATATATGTTGCTTAGTTGTGGGAGGAGGCGACAGGTGTCCCGTGGAATTAGTTGAGGTGTGCATACATGTTGGTGGTGGTGAGAGGTGATAGGTAGCTTGTGGAATTAGTTGTGGTGTGCTGGTGGTGGGAGGTGATAGGTATCCTGTCGAATTAGGTATCGGGTGGAATTAGTTGTGGTGTGCTGGTGGTGGGAGGTGATAGGTATCTTGTCGAATTAGGTATCTCGTGGAGTTAGTAGTGGTGTGCTGGTGGGAGGTGATAGGTATCATGTGGAATTAGGTATCTCGTGGAATTAAGTTAGTCGTGGTGTGCGGTGTTGCTTAGTTGTGGGAGGTGACAAGTGTCCTCTGGAATTAGTTGAGGCGTGCATACATCTTTTTGGTGGTGAGAGGTGATAGGTAGCCTTGTGTTGTGCTGGTGGTGGGAGGTGATAGGTATCCTGTGGAATTAGGTATCGGGTGGAATTAGTTGTGGTGTGCTGGTGGTGGGAGGTGATAGGTATCCTGTGGAATTAGGTATCTCGTGGAGTTAGTCCTGGTGTGCTAGTGGTCGGAGGTGATAGGTATCAAGTGGAATTAGGTTAGTCGTGGTGTGCGGTGTGCATAACTGTTGCTAGTGGGAGGTGACAAGTATCCCATAGAATTAGTGGTGCGCTTACATGTTGGTGTTAGTAGGAGGTGATAGGTATTTTGTGGAATTAATCGTGGTGTGTGTAACTATAGATGCTGGGAGGTGACATCGAGGTGTATGCAAACTGGCTCGGACATCAAGATTATTAACAAACAAAAAAAACAGAGGTGTATTTTGTTCAGATTTCATTGTGATTTTGTGTTGACATAGCGTTGTTATTGCTGGAACTACTTGCCTTGATAGGTCAAATTTGGGATTATATTTGTAATTGACCTCTATTAGATTGTAATTTAATGGGAGCTAAGCTATTGAACTGTTGATATTGCTTAGGGAATGTAGTTTACAAGATTATTTTTGGTATTGAATTCTACATTAGTAATGGGGTGTTTGGTTCCCTTCTTCTTTGTTCGAGGACATAAATTAGGGTAGGAGGTTAGATAATTGAGTGTTTTCTCGCTTATTCTTTTATACTATTAGCCGTACTATACGTCATAGTATTACTCTTGTAGTTGCTTGTCAAGTTCAATTGTTACCATGATTTCTTTTACACTTCGATTATGGTTTTATCTGTAATGACTATTGCTGTTATCTATAATATTTTGTCATGATCCTTGGATAGTAATCCAGCGTTTAAGGTGCAGTATAATCCATGTATTGTAATATTTATACATAGTTTGTCTGCTTATCGAACTAACCCTTAGTTTTGATGGGAGTTCCAATAGTTAAATTATGGCATTATGTTCAATTGTTGGTATAGCGTTTACATGTGGCTTATGGGAACTTTTGGATTTTGATTATGTGAAGGAGAGTGCTATGCATTCGAAAAGGTCTGGGCATACTGAGTTTTATGACAGGACCGCAGAGGTGGCGGAAGAGGAAGAAAGAAGAAAAAGAGATAACCTTCGTCAGATACTGAGAGTAGCTATTGATCATTTGAACGAGGTTAGAAATCCTAACGTGTCCTAAAAATTTTGATTTTGCTTAAGAACATGTCAACATAGGCAGATCCAAGATTTTGATGTGTATGGTTTCTTGCAACAACCTAAAGTTAGTATGTTATAGTATCTGGTTCTGGAAAATGTGTAGATTTGGTACATCTACGAAGATGTAAGGTCTAATGTGGGTCACATTATCCGATTTTTTCTTGATTCGGATCAATGCATATTGATGAACATTCTTGCTTTTTATGATCAACTTGGCCAATATGTTAACGATCATGTTGCACCTCATCCAAAGCAATCGAGTTCCATCTGATAATTCTCGGTTGTCTTTTCTGAAGTTATAACAAAAACATTTTACTTCACAGGCTGATACTTCACTGGCAGCAAGAAGAAGACAGCAGCTTGGTTTGCCTTCCAGACCTGTTTTAGAGGAAGGACAGGTAATTTCTGTTGAAATCTGTCGATATGGTTTTGCTCCAATTTGGACATGCTTGTCCGTACTCATGTTGCCTTTTAAATTAATTTTGTAGAGTTCATTGCCTCTAGCTGCAAGGGCCGAGCAGATGGCTGAGTGCCTGCGGACTATCCAGCAGAATTACATGGTAATATTTGAGTCGTTTTTGTTCCAGTACTAAGAAGAATTGTCCTTTCATTCTGAGTCTTTGTCAATTTCCACTAGGATGACGCGGCCAAAGTCATGAAAGCTTTCGACTCACTGCATATGTTTGCTAGGAATATTACTATGTATCCTGATGAGGAGAAATACCGCAAAATTAGAATCAACAATGCTGCATTCCAGGTGAGAATATGAAAATTACAAAACGACTGTCCCTTGTTTTTGTTGTTCATTCAATTCTATGTTGTGTTTCTTTCTAACCTTTAAATTCAGTCGAGAGGAAAGTTTCTTTTATACATTTTATACCTCGTTAGTACTCAAATTCGTATGTAATTCGAGGTTACTTGGTTCAGGATGTTTTCACACATGTGTAGGGCAAGTTTTTACCATCCAATGCTTCAAGTCGAACATATTCTATAGATAAGAGTTTGATATACATTTCAAAACGTTCTCGTTAATTCTGTTTTGACATTTTGATAACAGGAGAGGGTTGGCCACCTACGAGGAGGTATCAAGTTCCTTGAGCTCTGTGGATTCGAAAGAACTAGAGGGGGTGAACACTTGTACATGCCGAGAGAAGATGTGAACATGGATGTGCTTTATTCAGCTTCAAATGTGCTCAACAATGCCATTGGAAATCCATAATATAAAAGTTAAATGTGGTGTTGTTGTTTAGCAAATCAAGAAATTGGAAAACATATGCTCTTATGGAAAACAATTATTTTGTGTTTGACATTTGTAATCAACATATAATCTTGTTTTACTCTTTATGTGATATACTTTGATTGTTGATACATGTATTTGTTGGGTATTTGCTCTGAGTTTTTTACCGTAAATAGGTTTTCCTTATCCTAAAAGGAAAACATGAAGTCTTCATATTTGGTTAGTCTTTTTCTAGTAGAGAAAAGGTTTAGGATTCTATAAATAGAGGTTCGTTCCTTCTAACTTAATCAATATTCACAGTGTAGTCCTAGAGGCTTTGAGAGTTTTGGTTATGGTTTTAAACATGTTATGAGATTAATAGGTTCTTTACTAGTCATGCTTATTGAGCACATATTGCTTTTAATCAACAGATCTTTACGAGTCATGTTTATTGAGCACGTATTATTTCTAATCAAAGATCTTTACGAGTCATGCTTATTGAGCATATGTTTCTACTCAACAAATCTTTATGAGTCGCGCTTATTGAACACGTGTTTCTAATCAACAATCTTTATGATTCATGTTTATTGATATTATAAGTAATCGTTCAATCAACTAGTATCTCCTAACATATATACAAGATCTGAGCTATCAAGTTTCTAGATCCGCCCCCTGATACAAGCATACATGCATAGAAACATACACATATACTTACTTCATTTCAAAATATTTGTCACAATTTTCTTTTTGACGGTCAAACAATATAGACTTCGACTAACATTTTAAGGTATATATCTTCATCATATTGATACAAGAAAAACTATAATTATAATACTTTTCATATATATATTTTTTTTAATATCTGAATTTTAGTTCAAAATATCGAATCAATCTCATCTAATTTAACTTTAAAACTTTTGAGAACGTAACAACTATTTTGGAAGGGAGAAAGTAATTGTAGTAACTTTTACATCTATGTTTCTTTCTTCATTGGTGAATCTTTTTAACTTTTTCTTTGCTACAAACCTAAACAATCTTGATTTGTTCAAAAATGAAAGTGATTAACAAGCTCAAATTTCCAAAAAAATCTCTCAAAATCATCAATCCTATACCCCATTTTGAGAATTTCAATGAACCCCATTTCATATCTCTAATCCATAGTTCCAAAAACACTCTTCAACTTCAACAAATCCATGGCCAAATCATTCGAAAAAACTTATCATCCAATAGTAGAATTGTTACTCAGTTGATATCTTCAGCTTCTTTACACAAATCCATTAACTATGGTTTGTCAATTTTTAATTGTTTTCTTGATAAAAATGTGTTCTTGTTCAATGTTTTGATTAGAGGGTTAAAGGAGAATTCTTTATTTGAGAAGTCCATTTTGTATTTTAGGAAAATGGTTAAAATGGGTGTTAGACCTGATAAGCTTACGTATCCGTTTGTGTTGAAATCAGTGACGGCATTAGGTGAAAAGGGAGTTGGTGGGGGTGTTCATTGTGGGGTTTTGAAGGTGGGTTTGGAGTATGATACGTTTGTGAGGGTTTGTTTGGTTGAATTGTATGTGAAAGTTGAGTTGGTGGATTTTGCATTGCAACTGTTTGATGAAAGTCCTGAGAGAAATAAAGTTGAGAGTGTTATTTTGTGGAATGTTGTGATTAATGGGTGTTGTAAGATTGGACGGATGAGTAATGCGTTGGCGTTGTTTGAGGAAATGCCTGAGAGGAATGTGGGTTCTTGGAATACTTTGATTAGTGGGTTGTTGAGGAATGGGGAGGTGGATAAAGCAATGGAGCTTTTTGATGAGATGCCGAATGAAAAGAATGTTGTTTCTTGGACCTGTATGATTCATGGGTTAATGCTAAATGGATTGCACCAAAAGGCTCTGGATTTGTTTTTTAAGATGGTGGAAGAAGGGGTGAAGCCGAATGGTTTAACTGTTGTATCTGCTCTTTCTGCTTGTGCGAAAACTGGGGCACTAGAGGCAGGGAAAAAGATTCATGATAATATTATGAACAATGGGCTCCATTTGAATGCAGCAGTTGGTAATGCTTTGCTTGATATGTATGCAAAATGCGGGTATATTGAGTCTGCAAGCCTGGTTTTTAGTGGATTGAAGGAGAAGGATATCCGTACATGGAGTATTATGATATGGGGTTGGGCAATTCATGGAGATGTAGATAAAGCTCTTAGGTGTTTTGAACAGATGAGATTGACTGGTACTTTTGATACTCTTTTGTCCATGGAGTTACTTGGATTCTATAGGAAATTGTTTGACAAAGTAAAATATTTTTTTTCTAATGGTTGCAGGAATCAAACCTGATGGAGTTTCTGTCCTTGCTGTTTTAACCGGATGCTCTCATGCTGGACGGGTGGATCAGGGCCTTCAAATCTTTGATAGCATGCAGCATGAGTGCTCAATTGAGCCCACTATGAAACATTATGCTGCAGTAGTAGATTTACTTGGCAGGGCTGGCCGATTTGATGAGGCCCTGAAATTTATTGCAAGTATGCCCTTGGAGCCAGATTATGTTATTTGGGGTGCACTTTTTTCTGCTTGCAGAGCTCACAAGAACATTGAAATGGCAAAAGTTGCATCCGAGAAGCTCCTACAGCTTGAGCCAAAGCATGCTGGGGGCTATGTGTTTCTGTCTAATGTTTATGCAGGAGCAGGGAGATGGGATGACGTAGAAAGAGTTAGAAGTTCAATGAAGAACAAAAATGTTGAGAAGGATCCTGGATGGAGTTCAATGGAGGTGGATGGTCAATTGCATACATTTGTTGCTGGTGATAGTGCTCATACACGTAAACAGGAGATATACTTGAAATTGGAGGAAATCATTACAGGAGCTAAACAACAAGGTTATATGCCTGAAACTGAGTGGGTGCTTCATAACATTGATGAGGAAGAGAAGGAGGGAGCATTGGGAAGTCATAGTGAAAAGTTAGCACTTGCTTTTGGGCTCATTAGTACTGGTCCTGGTGTGATCATTATGATTGTGAAGAACCTTAGAGTGTGTGGGGACTGCCATTCTCTAATGAAGTATGTCAGCAGGATGAGTCAAAGGGTGATTGTGTTAAGAGATATAAAGAGATTCCACCATTTCAAAGATGGAGTTTGTTCCTGTAAAGATTACTGGTGAACTAGTATGTGTTGCCCGTCTTACGATGTCTGTCAAATTTGCTAGTTCAGCTTATAACTGTTCATATATGTCATACTAGACTTCTAGCAATTTCTGGATGCCGTTGTTTATGACTATTGCCAATTTATTTCGGTTTACTGCTTTTCTCAGTTGAAACCTTTTTTGATAAATATTGTTGGCATCTCGAAAAAAAAACTTCTCTTTGTCTCTATCTTTTTCTATTTAAGTGCTGGATGTTTTTACCATGTGTCCTGTTATGTCCTCGTCTACACAGAGATTTTGACTTTGGAAAGACTTGCCACTAGTACTACTCATAATTTGTCAGTACTAACATAATAATATCTGCTGTAAGTGGATAAACCTAGTGAAAAATGAGTGTAGTTAAAAGGCAAGCATAAATATTCTTCTCCAATTACAGTTCTAAATGCTTTATCTGGATGTATATGCAGATCCTGGATTTTCTTACTGCTTTGTTGGCATATATTTGAAGGTTTTGTTAGATTTTTATAATTTCACTAAGTCTTCAAGATTCCCTGTTCTCTCTATTCACTATGGACTCTTCATTTTCTCTAAATCTTACAAATCCACCATCTTCTAGATAGCAGGAGTCAAGCATCCCATACATATCTCGTGTTCAGTGCCAACACTTATCAAAGATGGGATCTTAAAACAGATGGATTACATATGGAGTGTCTATCGTGTAGTCCCCTCAGCTCCCCATGTGCTAAGACATGATGTTACATCAGGTAATTTTATGTCTATTTGATTCATTGTGATATGATAAAGGATTTACTGCAAAATTGATCTTTTTCAGTTAAGCCTTTCATGCTTTGTTAAGTTTGAATTTACAAATCTAGTAAGAAGAAGTTGCTCCAGACTCCACTAAGTGATGAACTTTGTTACTCTTTACTGTTTCTTATCTGGAAATAGCATAATTTAATTACATGGTGCCTATCAAAACGAAGAAAGGTTTGATTTAAATTACATGGTATTTTACTCGGAGTGTTCAAACTGCTTACAGGGTTTGACAAGACTTTCCTGTTCTCCTCATCATCAGCATGCTTGCCTACTTCTGTATACTGGAGAGGCTTTTGGTGAGTAAAGACTACACCTTAATGTCATCATATTCCAGAAAAAAAAAGATCTTAAGTAATGCTTGTTTACAGGTCATCAGAAAAGGATCATGTCCAAATGATTTGCAAGTTTGTCACATTTTTTTTGTTTCTTGTGTGGAAAACAACATGGAAAAATAGATTGTTATTGGCATTGGGTAATGTATTGGCATGTCTCTGTCGTTTGCTTTCTATTTTGTTGTGAATTGGCTTATGCAATATCTACTTCTTTCATAAGAATTAGAATGCGATTTAAAAGTGACTCATTTCAGAAAACTATGTTGGCTAAGCTCACAATCACAAAACAGAGAAATTAGAATGGATTTTGTCAATGCTATTTATTTGGTCACATTTTAATAGGCATTTATATGGTTTATGCTAAATCATCACTCATTTTACTTTGCTAGTATATGTGACTTTCTTGTGACTGGTACATGGTTTCAGTTAGAGGTCATCGCCTCGTCAGCATTGACGTAGCTCAGTTTTTTGCGATTGGGCTGAAGTTAAGAATGTCACTGGTTGCTCCAACTGCTGAAAATTCACATATTCAAGAGAGACAATAGTCGTAACGGATGTGGCATTTGGCATCATCAAAATCTTGGATAGCATTTTGTGAAGATCCAAATAGTCTCTTCAACCTCCATGCGTATGGCAACTTGAAAAACTACAGTAAGGAGTCTAGTCTTCTGTGCCCTTGTCAAGCGGAAGCTGTGTCACCTGTTTAGTAGGACAGGGAACAAAGCAAACCCCAAACTTGCCCGGGACAATACCACAGTCTGCTAATGTGAAGAAATGGACCTCAGCCCTAACTTAACCCCAACAACTAGCTAATAAAGCGAGGATAGCCCAAAACCACTGTCAAATAACCAGGTCTCACACCGATGAGCATACTCAAAGACTGGACATCTGGAGTGTGGACAATATAACACGAGGATCCGACATTGGATAAACCAAGAGTTGGACATGAGGCAGTGATCATGTGCTTAGTGATTTGCAAGTTTGTTACATTTCTCTTGTTTCTTATGTGGAAAACAGCTTGGAAAAATAGATTCTTATTGGCATTTGGTAAATGTATTGTCATGTCTGTCCTTTGCTTTATGTTTTGTTGTGAATTGGCTTATGCAATAATATCTACTTCTTTCATAAAAATGAGAATGTGATTGGAAGTAAATCAATAGTTTCTTGTCTTCGATTTCTGGTACTATCTATTGTATCTTATACTTCATTTATTGTGATTTCTGGTATTATCTATTGTATCTTATACTTCGTTTATCATGGTTTCTACAGTATTTTGTCATGATTTCTTCACTTCTCTTATTTTTCTTAACAATATGATTCAAAACAAACACAACATATACATATAATAGAATGTGATAAGTAGTAATTTATTTTTAATTGTATAAATATAATGAACAAAACAAGGTAAACAAAAGATAAATTTGCAACTTTATTTATGGATTAGGAAAAAAAATACAAAATATAATTAACTAGTGCATGATTTTTGGAAAATATAAAGTATCCAAACCTGTTGGGTATGGATATAAATACGAATATTTAGAATTGAACATAAATTCCTTAACAACTATTTTTCGTTGTTTAGGGTTATAAATGGAAATATGGAAATTCGTTGGTCCTCGAAAGATAATTTCATCATTCTCCACGCAACATAAAATTTTAGTATATTTATAAAATTTTGGTAATACCTTGGGAATTTTCTTTAACAATTTCCAGCCATCATCTTCCATGATCCACATGTTCAATTCCAATCCGTTCTTTTTTTTTAGGCGGTATAAGCTAAGATGACCTTTCAAGATAGTCAAACGGAACAAGTGCTTCTTACGACTATCACCTATGAAACTCGGTGTTGGAAGCTCCTTCAATTCATCTGACTTCATGTCAAAATATATAATTGTAGAATTTCTATTATCGTCCGCCACCTTGTACCAATATACACAACCACCGATGGTAATTCCTTCATATAAATATGATGACCATGAATTAATACTTAATTGTGGGAGAGTTGTTTTTTCCGTCCAGAAGTTTCTAGTAGAATAGATAAGATAAAACAACTTATAGATCAGTATAACGTTACAATCATCGGTGTGGTAGAATCATAACACAACCCATAACCTTGAGGATTATAACACGTCTCGTAAACCCCCACCATTTCGTAATAGTACTAAACCATCATGTGAGCATAAGAGACGAGAGTATTTGAATCCCTTTAGAGGAAAATTGTTATCTTCTATGGCAATTACTCGATTATTTTTCAAGTTAATAAATTTAAATTCATCGTTAATATAACTTTGTAATAAGAAACTTACACGTCCCAACACTTTGGATTGATCAATATGAGCTTTCTTAAATTCTCGACTGAAGATTACATCATCCCATGATATAGATACACATCGAAAACGTAATAACGATTTAACAGGTAATCTACGAAGATAGAGAATAAAATATCACATGAAACATTAATATCACTTATGTGACATTACGTCTGCTATTGGAGAAGAATGACTTTCGTTAGGGTTTATTTAATTATTTATATGATTTATGTGTATAAAATAAAATTTCAAGACTCCTTGTTATGAGCAAAAAGGATTCTTTTAATAGAGGAATATAGCAAATTATAGTATATATATTTATTTACCTAAATTTATTGTTTTAATTTACTTCCATAAATTAATAAGAGTTGGTATATTATATTAGTGAAAAAGAAAAAAAAAGCATATAATTTGTTTTATTTTTGGCATTTGGTAAATTGTGAATTGGCTTATGCAATATATTCATAATACATAGAAATATAGTTTCTTGTCTTTCGATTTCTGTTCTTGATACTATCTATTGTATCTCGTACTTTGATTATTGCACTATTTTATTATAGTTATATATATTGTTCATTTTTTCAAAATGTTTTCTAGTACTTTCACTTTTGTTATGTTCTTGATACTATCTATTGTATCTCGTACTTTGATTATTGCACTATTTTATTATAGTTATATATATTGTTCATTTTTTCAAAATGTTTTCTAGTACTTTCACTTTTGTTATGTTCTTGATACTATCTATTGTATCTCGTACTTTGATTATTGCACTATTTTACTATAGTTATATATATTGTTCCTTTTTTCAAAATGTTTTCTCAGTACTTTCACTTTTGTTATTTGATCGATCATTTCAATATTTCCTTAAGTCGAGAGTTTATCAGAATTCGGAAGCAATCTAGTACATACACTCAATTCTTCGTAGATCCTACTTATGAGATTACACCGAATATGTTATTATTTATTTGGTCACAATTTAATAAGCATTTGAACAATATGTGGTACAAGTTTAAAAGAAGAATGTTAAAGTAAGTATTTGCATAGTATCTAAGTAAAATATTATCTATGACACTGATTATAACACTAAAGTAAGAATTGGCACACAATATTATCCATTAAATTTGTATTTGCAATGATATAATTTATTTTCATATCGAGAGATTCAAATTCGAGACCTCTTAATTAAGAATAGAGAAATCTCAACCATCATATCACAATTTATAAGGGTACGTATAAGTTATAAATATAATGGATAAAACATTGTAAACAAAAAGATAAATTTGCAAGTACAACTTTATTTATGAATCAGAAAAAATTACAAAATTAAAGGAACATAATTTGGTTGTTTATTCTAGTTCATGATTTTTGGAAAATATAAACTATCCAAACCTGGATATGGATTATCATACTCATATCCAATATTATAATTCAATATAAATTCTTTGACAACATTTTGTTGTTTAGGGTCATAAACGGAAATATGACGATTCGTTGGTCCATGAAAAATAATTTCATCATTCTCTGCGCAACACAAAATACATTTAAGTTTGCAATATTCCGATACTATTTTGAAAAGTTTCATTAACAATTTCCATCCATCATCTTCCATGATCCACATGTCCATTTCTGATTCATCGTTATTTCGTGTGTTGTAATGTATGTCGTAAAAGCAAAGACGATCTTTAAAAGTAACCAAACAGAAAATGTGCTCGTTATAATCATCACTTACGAAATTCGATACTGAAAGCTCCTTCAGCTCATCTGACTTCATGTCAAAACATATAATTGTAGAATTTATTCCATGACTCGGAAGTATGGACCAATATGCGCAACCACCGGTGGCAATTCCCTCGCATAAATACGACCATGAATTATTAGTTGCTCGTGGAAGAGTTGTTTTTTTTCATCCAAAAGGTCCTAGTAGAGTAGACAAAATAACACGATTTATAGATCAATATAACTTTGCAATCATCAGTGGTAGGATCATAACACAACCCATAACATTGAGGATCATAAGACATCTCATGACCACGAGGAAGTGTGGAGATGTTCATTTATGGACATGATGCAAGCTTTAGGCATTGTCTAGTCGATGGATTCCATAAAATAAATGTTTTGTAATAATTATCCCCATCGTTCTGTAATAGTACCAAGCCATCATGTGAGCATACGATACGAGAGTATTTGTATCCCTTTAGTGGAACTTGTTGCCCTTCTATGGAAATTAGTCGATTCCTTTCCAAATTTATAAATTTGAATTCATCGTTAATATGGTTCAGTAATAAAAAATTTATACGTCCCAAAGCTTTGGATTGATTGATGTGAGCCTTTTTAAATTCTCTATCGGAGATGATATCACTCCACAAAATAGAAACAGATCAAAAACGTAATAAAGATTTAACGGATAGTTTAATCAGGATGGAGACTCCGATATCATATGAAACATTAACATCAGACTTATGTGAATCCTTTGACATTATGTCTGCTATTGGAGAAAAGTGGCTTTCTTTAAGGGTTTATTTTATTATTTATATGATTTATGTGTATAAAATAAAATTTAATACTTGTTGTTGTGAACAAAAAGGATTTTTGTTTCCCTATTAAATAGAGGGAAATAGCTAATTATAGTATATATATTTGTTTACCTAAATTTATTATTTTGCTTTCATAAATTAATATGAGTTGGTATACTATTTTTGTGGGAAAAAAAGAAAAAATAATATATATAATAGTTAAATTTATTAAAAGGAACCTATAGTTAAATTTATTTAAAGATTTAAAACAATAAATCAAATTGTACCTTTTTAAGCTTATTTACATGGTCAATCTCATACAAATAAAGAAGGGCAAATTACAGAAATCACATACTTTTAAAGCAAAATTACAATCTATCCCTTAAAAAATTTATAATTACAGAAATCTCTCAAACTGATACAATAATATAAGCGCTGATACATTAATTTGATGCGCGAGATACATTAATCGTTAAGTAAAATACATTACATTTTATACATGATACACTAATCTGATGTGCGAGATACACTAATCTAATGCGCTGATACATTAATCTGATGCGCGAGATACAATAATCTGATGCGTGAAAATGAGGGATTTTGGAGATTTGTAAAACTTATAGGGGATAATGGTAGTAAGTAAACTAAAATGTGGATTTCTGTAATTAATCCAATAAAGAATTAAAATTACTTACTTACTCTCATAGTACATTGACTAGTGAGTAATTTCTGAACAAGAACCATCAATGATACCACAAAAATATATAAATATTTTTATAGTATCATTGACTAATGAGTAATTTCTGAACAAAAAACCTTAATGATACCAATACGTTAAACGAAATTATCAGTCTTAATGATACCAATACAATATATGATACTGCTTTAGTATCAGTTAAGCAAAATTATCAGCCTTAATGATATCAATACAATATATGATACTGATTTAGTATCAGTTAAGCGAAATTAGTTGAGGGGTATATAGTGTAATTATTTAGTGGGATATGAATATAAAATGGTATATGTTTGTAATTATTTTGTTTTTATGGGGTATTTTCTTAGTTTTCCCGAAAAAATAATCGCTTAAATTAAGACATAGGAGAAAAGTGTTATACTACATTATTCATAATAATATACCTTGCATTATCATAGATAAGGACATTTGTGGTCAACTTGGATCGGTTATTGATTAAAATAAAAATCAAACCAATCTAGTCGGCCTTTTAAATT